TTTTTCTTTCTTTTCACTCACACACGCACTCACACACGGACGTAGATAACGCGAAATTACACATGGACGTGTAACTGTTATTTCCTTTGGCGTAGTGTGCGCCTTTTCCTTTTGTTGTTGCCTTCGTGCTGCTTTTGTTTTTGGGGAATGTTCTCGTATGCACTTGTGAAAGTGTTAAAAATTAACTGTAACAACAAAAACAAACGAATGTAGAGGAGTCGAGGGCGAATAAACGTAACGTTTTTGTGTTTTTTATCGCCTATCTCGCTCTGGCCAAACGTGGCTCTCCAGTGCGTGCGAACGGGAGGGGGCGTTGGGCTGGGCGGACCGATTAACGAGCGAGAGGGAGAGAGAGGATGAGTGACAGAGAGAGCGTTGTGGGCGAGAGACGCGAGAGAGAGGGAGACACAAAAGCCGCGTGGCTTTCCGCTGCCGTGGCTGCAGTCGCGTTGCCTTAACAAAAAGCGAAAAATAACTGAATAACTGAGCAGCGACGGCCACAGACCGCTTCGCTTTGCTATCCGCCGTCGGGTGACGTCTTGGCCATTGCCTCACACACACACACACAGTGCACACTAGCGCGCCAGCATACGGCAGCGGCTCACACAGATACTCGCACACACGCGCAGCGCCTGGAAATACAAGTTGCGTATATGCCAGGGATGCACAGAGTTCCCAAAGAGCGGAACTAGTTTGCTTGAGCTAGGATTGCGAGAACTAGTTCAATTAGGGGTTTTAATTAATTAAAACGTTGAATGGCCATTCTAGCTTTTGTGGTTATATTATTAATATTAGATTAGGCTTCTAATATTATATACTCTCTTTATGAAAGCCAAAAAGTAGGCAACTCTTATACACAATGTTCTCTTTCCCAAAAAAAATAACCTGAGTCATTGAATCATTAATTGCCCGTATTTAATTAACACAATTTCTCGTTCAAATTATTCCATGCTTCCGTTACAAAAAAAAATATATATTTGTATGTATATATTTTTTGACACTTGCCAAAAATAAATGCCAAAAATAATCCTTGAACAAATTAAACAAACCGCAAAACCGCATGGAAAATCCCACGTGAACGGTATTTTCTTGCTCCGTTCCATACAATGCCCGATGCTCGCGGCCCTGACGAATGTCCGGGCAAAGAAGAAGCGCACAATAAATGTCAATTCAAAGCAGAGAGCATGCAAGAGTGCCTCTCTCACTCATACAGCGACAAAACCACATGTCAGCCTTTTATTGCATGCGAGAAAAATTACCAATGAGAATAACTCACATTGAGTGAGAGAGGGAGTACCACTCGGCTCAAAAGCAGTTGCACTCAATTGAAGAATTTGGCGCGCAGCTCGTTTGTTGACATTTTCCACTTTGTTTTGGTCCGCTCGCACGCTCTCTCTCTGTGTCTCTCTCTTCTTCTTCTCTTTTTGTTTTTGTATCGTTTGTTGTTGTTGCTGTTTCGGATTTATGTATGCCACGCATCGCATCGCCACTTTGCGTTTTCGGATGACTCATCGGGGTTTTTACACACGGATACGTGTTGGATACCAACACACAGATACTCGAAGTGAAACTAATGTGGGCCTCCCGCAATTTCAGTTTCAGATTCATTTTCAGATTCCCATAGGCTTGGGTTAAGGCTCTGGGACTCACAGACAGGTTCGCCACACGTTAAAAAAGTCACTTGAAAGTTATTTCTATTTTAAGAATTAAATTTAGGGGAATTTTGGTAATTATTATTTTAGGGTATTTTAGCCAATTTTAAAAATATTAAAGAAATTACCCTTTCTAAATTAAGAATTAAATTAAGAGGAATGTTACTAGGGAAATAATGATTATTTTTGCTGTTTATATTATATTTATTTTTTATATGTAAACTAGATAAGTTAGTTAAATAAATTACCCTTTCTAAATTAAGAATTAAATTAAGGGGAATGTTACTAGGGGAATTATCATTATTTTTGCTGTTTATATTATATTTATATTTAATATTTAAACTAGATAAAAGGTTTACTATATTTAAGAATTTAAAAAGTCACTTAAATTATCTTGTTATTTAATAATGTATTTTTTTTATATTAATGTTAAAACTTTGTTCTCAGAGATTTTCATACACAAACTTGCACAAATACAAGATTCTCTCACAATCTCAAATGGTTTTAGTCTATTCCCTTACATTTTCTCCCAGTGCAACCATCCGAGGTCCGAGGTCGTTTAATGAGTGCAAGCGAGAGTATCTGTATCTGCAAGATGCATTTGGGCGCGTGCTAAATGCGTCTATTAGCCGCAGCAACACCGCCCCGTACGATGTGTATGCATTAATTCCAATCCCATTCGGACTTGCATTCGCATCTTCCGAGACCCATTAGGTCTCAGGTAGCCAGGTAGATTTGGGACTCGCCACCGCCATTAGTTGGGACTTGGGAATGACTCCGGATCGAGACAAAGACAGAGACAGAGTCACCTCTCGCAGCACGAGTCCGATAAGCGGTGTCTGAGTGCTGGCGTCGAGCTGTGGCACTTCCCGAGTTTTCAGGACGTCAGACTGGCCATTGAGCAGACGGAAGATGGGAGTGTCACCAAGGCCGAGGGTTGAATGCCTTCAATGTTTGGGTTTCAGTTGCTGCTAATGTTGCAGCAATTTGCCAGGCGACTGCACGGGTGCACCAACCACTCTGATTAGGTTACCATTCTAGCTCATATTCTATGGGTTACCTTGGGTTAATTCTCGGGAATTGCCGGCGGAAAGGAAATCGGAAGCGGAAGGAGCATTATATATTTTTTATTGCCACTTACGTAAGTGATTTCTATGTTTTAAAAAGGATTATGATGAATGCAAGAAAATAAGCTTGTAATAAAATTATTTATTTGACATATATAACCTTCTTTATACTTTCACTAAATACCATATAAATAAAGTAACCACCATTAATCTCTCAGAGATTTTTCATTGCATATATCTACAGTGCTTTGTTTGTCATTTTCGTATCTCCAAAGTCTCAATTACATTATAATTATATCTACTTATCACTTCAAGTGCTTGCGCTGACGCTTAATTTATTTAAGTCCAAACAACTTGTATTCGTACTTAATTATTTACATAGCGATACGATCGCCTGAATAATGTTTGCATTGATTAAAGTTTCGAGATCACGTCATGGAGGAGGGCGAGCGACGTCATCGTCAGCAAGTCATCAGGTTCCCGGAATATTGTTTATAATTCCCGGTATCAAATGAATAAGCCCCGAACCAGAGAGTTGTATTTAATAAATACACCCTGAGGAAATTTAATTCGAGCTCCCTTATGAATGAATGGGAACCACTAGACTTGGTGGGCGTTTATATGGTATAAAATACGTATATATGTATAGGCAGGTATTAATCATATCGCAACTATTTCCGTTGCAATTATTTCAAAGTCTTAAGCACGTGCGATGCCTGCTGTTTTATTTTCTCGGTGCTTGGCAGGTGCAAATGTGTTTTTTCACGGACAAGTGGTCCGCACTTTCATTGATAGGAAAACAAGTTCCAATAAAACCCAATCGAAATCAAAAGAGACGACCTTCAGTCGAAAAAACAGCTGATTGCTAATGCTAATGGGAGCATTTAAAAAATAAAAATAACAAGAAACAACAAAAAAATAAAGGCGAAAGGGGCGTGTTAACTATTGCAACCAAGTAAATGATTAAGAAAACTTAATGAGTTTGTTGTAGAACCGTATTTTTCGAGCGACGCTCATTAAAAAATTAAGCATACGGAATAATAACAGATATGGCAACAATAAAACCTAAACGACGGCAAAATAAAGTTGTTAATTGTTTTTGTAATAATTAATAACAATAACAACAGCAAAAGTCGGAGCAAAGCAGAGCGATCAACACCATACTGTTTCCAGAAACAGCAACACAACAAGTTCAAGGACAGAAAACCAAAAGTTGCAGCATTGAAAGTAACTTTAAAACAAGCTTTTCCTTAAAGTCCCATATACATTAAAGGGTTTCTTAATGGAATTACATTTCACATATTTTGTAACCTATTATGACCAAGTCAAAGAAGTATTTACTGGGGGAAATTCATATGATTGTCAGGATTTCCTTGGAAATAATTATTATTCCCGCATACTTAATAGAATGTTTAAAAATAACATGGAAAGTTATGGAAACGGAGTTTCCACTATGTTTGGATTTTTTTCTTATGCTCTTATGGTTTTTAGAATATAAATATATATATATATATATAAATTAATTCTACATTTAAGACGATTAATATTTAGCTTTTTTGTCTTGGATATATGTTTTATATGTTTTAATTGATATTAACCTTTTGTATTTATCCTTAAAATTAGTTTAAACTAAATTACAATTATTAAAAATACAAGGTATAATTTTGTAGAAATTCATTAAAAGCTTTTCTCTTGAAATCTCATTGATTATATGATTGTTTCTCCTGATTAAGAAGTACAGGGCCTTTCGGACCTGACCAATTGAAAAGCATTTGGCCTAGTCATACCAACTGTCAACTGCTCAACTCAGGAACTCAACCAACGCGGCAGATAAGTGGCGAAAATCAGCCTGAACCACGAACCTCAATCCTAACTACACACGAAAAAATGGAACCAAAACTTTCAAATACTTAAAAACATTAACTTAAAATTCCACTTTAATAATTTCAAATATTAAACAGTCACTAAGTTAACATTATAATTTAAAAAAATAAGAAACTTCTAAATAAAAGTAAAAAATTTAGAATTTGAAGAAATAAAATTCGTATTAAAAATAGCAATTTCATATTTTTTAGAATTTCACTTGTATCCTTTTATTTTTAATTTGAAATGTTGCTTAATTTTATATTTATTTTCATAAATAATCAGATCAACGTGATATTTAAAATCAAGAATAGTAAACTATCAGTTTGATTTTATTTACAATTTAATATTATACCTTCTTTTCAACATGGAAATTTATTATACATACTTAAATGTACTACAATCTGCGATAGAAATTAGATAACATTAATTTCCATTTTAATGACAATATTTGTCTCTGTGTAACCATATCATTTCTCCTAGTAGAAACACCGTGAATGTGCTCCGGAGTGCTCGCGGCTCTTGGCATTTCCGTTCTACGGTTTCACTTTTCAGTTGTTTTTGCTTCTCTAGCGGCTGTTTACGGCTTTTTGACTTCCTGGCCTGGTTCACGTTCGTGACTATGCAACTGGACTCTTATCTGCTCCGGTCCGGTCCGGAGGAACTGGCTCTGTCCGCGGCGTGTGTTCACCGTCATCGTTGGGGGGGTTCATGGGGTGGTTGGATTGTCAAGCTTCCAAGGTTCCGGGGTTTCGAGGCGGCGATAATGTTCAGGCGACCAGGTAGACTTTCCGTCGCGACACGGACACGGACACGGGAGACATGTGTGCATGCATCACCTGGGTATTTTTACAACATGACGTTATCAGGCGTTTCGCGCTCTAGAGCGGCGACGATCGTTCAGATTAAAATTAAAACGCTTCTGCCAACTAAAGGGGTTTTCTGCTTAAAGATAGTGTCATTTCGACTATAGTCATACGTCTGGTTTTTTAAATAATTATGGTACTAAAGGGTTGTTTTTGTAACATTTAAACGATAGGGTTTTTAATTAAAAGAATTGACCATATAATCGCCCTTGGTTGTATGAACTTGGGCTATTTTTTCATGAAAGTATCTTAAAAAACTTAACGAATTTTTTAAGAGTTAACAGCTTTCTTGATCTTTTTCTTATAAAAACGGCTTAAACCTTTATAAATTCCAGTATTTCAGTTTTAAATTTAAATTCGTTGCAACTGCGAGTAATAAGTTCAAAAAGGTCATGCTTCCCGCGGGCAATATCCCCCGCGAATTAAACCCTTTTGTTGGTGCTCAGATCTGTAACTGTCTGCTGATTTAATTTAAATTTATTTAAATAACTTTACATATGTACATGTAGAGATCCAGTTTTTTTGTTCGCCGTTGGAACAAATTAAATTACTCGAAATGTATTTTTTATTGTTTGTTTTATTTACTTATTCCCCTTTTTTATTATTATTTTTTTTTTTGTGTGTGTTTGGGGAGTGGCATTCCCACGCCACAGCGGTCAGTAAATATTTACTTCAGATAAAGGCTTGAAAAATAAAACATACTTATGTATATATTTGGGGCAAAACGGAGGAGCACTTGGCTCAACATGTCGCATACGTGATGGAAGCGATATCAAGTATACGCCCCTTGGACGCCATTTTTTTTCGTTTTCCCAGCTGCGATTTTCTCACCCAACTAAAACGCAATTAAAAAAGATGAAAAAATGGAAAAAACGAGCAAAAACAAAAGCGAACAGAAAAAAATCGACTTGGAACGAAGCGCCGCCCACAAAAACCGCAAAATAAAAGTCGACAGCAAATAGCAGAGATCAGGGAGGTGGCAATCGTAAATGCCTAGTTTTTGCCTCACTCATATGCACAAGGAAAAAAATCAAGTCAAGAGTTGCATCTTTAAATAGTTTTAGGAACGATTAAGGATTTTTTCCAAGATTATGTTATGTAGAAAAAAAATTTAGAAAATATAATTTTTAATATTATTTTATTTTGCTTTAATTCTTAATGTATTTTCTTTTTCGCAATTACATGAAATAAAATTGTACTGGTGTGTATTTCACCATTTATCTTTTATTAAGGGGAATTTCTTTGTTTAATCTTTGCCAAAGTCGCACGCAATACGCAATATTTTATTTATTTTTTATTATATTGTATATTTAAATAATGTACTCACATGTCGCTGCTGATGATGATCCATGACATATTTCACAGCTTGAACAGATGCATAGTCCTGGCGCTGAGTTTGTTGATGAGCTTGTTGTTGATTTTGAAGTTGCTGGTGCGAGGATACGGCTGCAGATGTGGTTGCTGGTGCCAGGAATTGTTGCTGCTGCTGCTGTTGCTGTTGCACACATTGATAATAACAATTGTTGGACTGCGATGTTGTTGGTTGCGTGTAGTTATTATAAGTGGCCTGTTGAATATACTGAGGTTGCTGCTGCTGCTGCTGTTGCTGATTGTAATTATTGACATTCATGCTGTTGTTGTTAATGTTAATTTGGCGCTGCTTATTGGACTCGTTAATCCAGGAGGCGCCCCAAACGTTGTAATTATCATTATAATTATTGTGCTGCATTTCGATGGCCTTTATTGCAATCATCAACGGGCAACAGATTGTCAGCGTTTATCACAAGAGATGTTGCAATTTCCTGCTCTCCTTTGTTTTATTTTGTTTTGTTTTGTTTGTTTCCTTTTTTTGCTCACTTATTTTTGGCTTGATTTATCGTCAACTGTCTTTCTTTGCAGATATTACAAGATTTTTAATTTTATTTAAACTTATTTACAAGTTATATTTAATTTTTGGCAACTCGTTTGGATTGATTTAGGTATTTGCTAAGATAGTTTTATTTTTTATCCTTGGGACTTGGTTTCTTTTGCTCTGTTTTTAAAGAGATTTTTCTGTAATTAGTTATTATATATTATTTATTTTAATTAATTTTTCAGATCTTTAAGTTTAAAGAGGTGAAAATTTAATTATTAACCAATTTTAATTTGATGTTAAATATATATATTGTCATAAACTTTATTGTTTGCTTTCAGTATTGGGTATAAACTGTTTTATTAGCTACTGTTTTTTTCTTTTTAGTTTTCGTTTTTTTTTTCAGAAAGAATTCTTCAACTTTTATTTCTATTTACAAGTTGTTCAATGTGGAGAAAAGGTTTTTTTCTTGGCGATTTCACTGGGAGAAAGATGACTCAACTGCCTTGTTCTTCCCGCTGAGTTACTGCATTCGTTTCCCTTTATATATTTTTTTTCGCACTGATAAGTGTGTGTTTCCCTTGCAAATTCGGATATTTCCATTCACACGCCCACTTTCCAACTGTCGCCTCTTATTCTGATGGGTTTTCCGATGGATTTTTCGATTTATTTCGATTTTCCGATCAGCACGTGCGGGCCAAGTGGCTGGGTAACGGTAAGCGGCGCGTAAACAAACACCGTAACGAGCAAACACGGATTAAATTACGTGATTTTGTTATAAACAGGCAACGAAATCAAACGAAAAAACCAGACACTGGCGTTATTATGACTTTTGCCAATAATTTCACGTTCTTTTTTTATATTTCATTTAATTGCATATCATCCAGAAACAGACACAGCTTGCTCGCGGTTTTTTATTAGTTTTTCGAAAAAGTTTGCTTAGCTTTTTACTACTTTGTTTAAGTTTAAGATTGCATAATTCGGTTGTTATTATTAAATATAATATTTATTTTTATTTGTTTATAAATAAGCAAATTAGTTTGGGTTTCTATCTTGAAATTTAAGAATTTCTTTTGTTCGTTAAAAGCTTTTATTTATTATTAATTTTTTCAGGAAAAGTTCAAGTTACTCTTTGTTTTTGGTGATAGCTCCTAAGAAAATTCCTTTTATTTAATTATATTTTACATTATTTGTTTTGGCTGTCTGGTTTACAAATTCCTTAGCTTCAGTAAAAAGTTGTTTTTATGTATTTTTTTGTTTATTTTTATTTTTACATTTTATTCATTTTTATTCTTTTGAAAACACACTCGTTGACTCCATTATATTTTCATATTTATTTTTTACATGTCATCCAGATACACACATTTGTAAGATTTTTATTTTATTTTTCACTGCACGTTCTTTGCTCACTTGTATTATTTTCTTTTTTGTTTATTATTTTTTTAAGGCCAGGACTAGCGACTTGCAGAGACTTCCACACGGCAGTGCGGCAGAAAGTGTATTGAAACCCAATGAAAATTTTGATAAACCTGCGCTCAAAGGCAGCTCACACACACACAGCCGGACGCACACTATCGCACACCCGAAGGCTGCCGACAAAAGGCGAAGAGCGATCGCGATCACTTCGGCTGAACTTCGCGTACGATCGTTCTTTTTTTTCGGCCATTCGTTTTTCGGGGTTTCAATATTTTTTCAGGTAAAACCGAAATAAAAAAAAAACACAACAACAACAAAAAAAACTGCACAAAACCCGAAACGAAAATTGTCAAAAGAAAAAAAATCAAAAACAAATTATTACGAGGCGCGTTTTATTTCGGTTCGGCTTTTGTTGTTGTTTTTGTGACTAATCGCATGTCCAGCGTCCAATTTTCGCAAACACCTTTCTGGGTGGTTTTTCGCTTTTCGCCTTATTATTATTACGCTTTTTTTTCGGCCGAGTTCGATTGCTGGTGTTACTATTTGGCGCCAATTGGCTAAATAAATGGGCGATCCGTCCGCTCCGCTCGCTGGCTCATAGATCACTTGGCCGCCTCACTCGCTTTTCGCTTTTTCACTCAGCGATTGTCGTCTTCTGGGCTGCGTCGACTGCGCCGCAGCTGCGAGCGCTATGACTAATGCAAACAGGCACGCGGCGGTGGTAGCACCGCTCTGCCCCAACTACAAAAACAATATGTAGAACAGGCGCGACAACAAAAACAGCAGTGCGAGAGCACTGTGATCGAGTGCTGGCCAGGTTTTTCAGGAGCAGAAATAAGAAAATACATATGTAAGTGTGAAATAATATATTGCGAAATTAAATGCTTAAATATTTGTAAAATTATATAATTAAGTGCAATATTTTGGTAATATATTGTAACATTATATGATTAAATATATTAAAAATTATATAAATAATTTCAGTACTTTGGAAATGCGAATGAGTATTAGATTATTAATTAAATGGATGAAAACACTTGAGGTATCGCGAATATCTGATAGATACTGATCATGGAGAAGTAGATACTAGTTCTGCTGGAACATTAAAATATCCGCAATCAGGCTTATATTTTTTAATCATTATTAGAGTATCAGAGATATGAACAGTTCAAGTCATTTTTGAATTATGGAATTATCCCACAAGTACATTAAAGGACCTGAGAAAAAAGGATACTGCACACGGCAAACCATAAATGTTACTCTAAAATGAATTACCCAGTCTTAATGTATAATAACTGCAGAGTACACCAGCCTTGACTTGTTTTTTATTATTTTATTATTAATTTGTAATATTTATAAAATATTTAGCAAAAAGTTAGCATAAAAAACCGATAGTGACAGCACTACTCCAAACCCTCTCCCCTTTTGTAAATGTTTCTCCCTCATTCTCTCAGCTGCCTTAATTTTTTTACTTTTGCTGGTTTTTAATCTATGCAACAAAAGCCACACAAAAACAAAAACAAAAAAACAGGAGGGGATCACAAAAATATGCGCGACGTGCCCACTTTTTTTTGTCAGCAGCGAAATTTTGTTCTTATTTGGCTGCTGCCGCCGCTTGTTCTTGTTGTTGTAACTGCATTTTAATCAGAGAATTTGTTGTTGCTTTTATGCGACACCTTGCAAAAAATGCAAATGATCCTGGCACACTCACACACATACACGTTAACAGCTACGAGAGAGTGGCGCAGTCACGCTCTCTGGCCGTAATGCGTGCGATCTCTGTCGCTCTCGCACGCCCTTCTCGCCATGCTTTTTACCTGTGCGAATGTTAATTGAAGAATTTATTGTTGTCTCATTGTTGTATTATAGCCTGGCGACGTCGACGGCGACGGCGGCGGGTCTTTTCTTTTTTTGTTCGTTTTCTTCAAATTTTATTTGTCGCGTTTAATTATGACAACAGCGGCGGCGGCGGCAGAGGTGGAGAGCGGGCGACGTCAGCGCCAGCCGATCATTGACTTTATTCCGCTCTGCCCGCCCTGGCGTCACATAGTTTTTTTTTGCTGTACGACTGTTCCTTGCTTTTGCTTTTGTTGTTGTTCCTTGCTGCTGGAAGCTTTTTTTTTGGCGGGGGTGAGAATTAACAAAAACAGAGAGGGGGCAAAGAGGAGAAGGTGAGAGAGTGGGAGAGCGGAATGAACTTTTGGGCCGGTTACTGTTTAACTTATTTACGCTTGGCAACAAAAGGGAGAAAGGCTACACAGAGAAAAAAATATGAAGAGAGCATAGTGGTAAACGGATACGAATACCAAATAGCAAAAGTTTTCTTTATATTATTATTAAGTCAATAAAATATAAAATATACAATTTTTTATTTTATTTTAAAGAAAATTGTCATTTAGTAAATTTTAACCTGAGAAGTTTTCTTTTATTTATCAAAACTAAAAAGAAATTTGATGTTATCATCTAAGGATTCAAAATGGATAGAAAATGGTGTCAATAAGTATGCAATAAAATATTCAACGTTTTTTGTTTCACAGTTTGGATAGATTTGTCTTGATCTCCAAATTTAAAACATACAGAAAACTTTATTTTTTTAGCTTTAAATTTAAAATAAATTTAAAAATTGGTGTACAGTGTACTAGTGTATTTAAGGGTTATTGTTTTATTTTTATATCTGATTAAAATTAATGAAAATGCGGAGTGCACACACTTATAATATACACAAAAACAGCCCCGCGAAACAATTGATGCTCGCAAACATTTTTAATCCAATTCCATATACACTTTATAGCGCACCCCCTTGCCAGCCCCAAGCCCCACTAGCCCCTAATTCAAGCAGAAACTTGGCAAACTTTAGCGACCCGTTGACATGTTAATGACATTTTTATAATGCCAACAACAAAGACAACACACAGGAACACACGCGGACAACAAAAACAAAGGCGGATGCAACATTTCTCATTGTTTATGGAGCGAGGAGCGAACGAGGATACAAATTGTTTTTAGCCGTTTTTGGAGAGGGAGCGGTCGCCGCAAATACTTACGCACAAGTAAATATCAGTAAGAATATGTACAAATCCACTGTGAAAAAAACAGGTCTAAAATCGTATTATATTATTATAATTATACTAAATTTTCGGTAAATGTGCACCTTTGAAGTAAAGTTTTTGCATTAAATTTAAATATTACTGTCTGAAATTTAAATTTTTCACTAAAAATCATAGGATTTATCAACGATTTTCAACGCTTTTAATTTTTCTCAGTGCACCGAATGCATTTATTCCATTGACGTGTGGCGGGATTTTAAGTCATTTTTGATGTACGAGTTGTTCTTGTTGTTTCCTCTGGTGCTTTTTATTTTTATTTTTTGTGTATTTGTATATTTGAGTTAATAATACGCGCGAAAGGTAACGGGTACAGTGAACTCAAAACACGTACAGTGCGAACACCTTTAATTGCAATTGGTGCGCGCGAGTGTGCGTGCTTGTCGTCCAATCAAGACAATCGGCAGCTTCCTTCCTTACGTCTTCCTTCCTCTACTCGCACACAGGTGCGTTGTTCACACATAGGTGTAGGTGCATCTCTCGTGCAAACATTGACGAATATCGGGAGCCAAAACAAAAGACGTAACCTAAGCAAACGGAAAGTGCGAGTGCGAGAGGCAGAGTTCGATTGGGGGGAGCGAGAAAGAACAGAAGTCGCTCTGCAGTTGCCGTGGGCGTTTTACGGTTACTTTTGGGCGGCTGCACAAGAAGAAGCAAAAGAAGAATTCGCTACACTGATAGAAACAAATGAAAATGACATGTAACTAAAAAATAAAATAAAATATGCGGACTTTCATATTCATATTACTTAAAATAATTAATTTAAATAAAAAGAAAATTTATTTCACAACATATTACCCATTCAGCAATTAACTTATCTACCAACATTAATTTTAAACTAAATATTAGTTCTTTTTTTAATTTTATAGATTTTCGATCAATTTTCGTTTACATAAAGCCAAATTTTTCTCTCAGTGCCTATTCGGTCGTGACCGCCGTTTGCCTTGGCCTCATTTCAGTTCAGCTTGGCTCTCCACTAGCCACTGCCGCATCTGTAGCTGTATCTGTATCTGTATCTTCGCATCTGTATCTTTGTATCTGTAGCTTTTCGCTCATCGTTGGCGGCCGACATTCCAGCGAAGTTCTGGATTCGGAAGGCGAATTCCGAGTGCGATTCCACCGACCGACACCTGGGGTTCAAGTGCAACTCCTCTAGGGGCTTTTCTTCCCGTTCAAAATCGCGAAGCTCGCTTTGTTGTTGCTTTTATTAGCACGTTTCGCCTTTATGGTCGTAGCGTGATTTCTGCGTTCTGGTGGCTTTTGTTACTGCGCCGCAGGTTGTGTATATTTTTTTATTGTAGTTTGGGCAACAGGTGTGGCCCCCAGCGACGTGTACATTGAACCCGCGCCGGGTTATGTCCCCCCACTCGTTTTTTTTACAGGGCAACAACTATGACGTGTTCGTTCATCCTTATCGCTAGCAGCTAGCTTCCTTAAAGCAGTGACGTCCTCTTCGATATTTCTCCCCTTTTTCCGTAATGATCCGATATTACACAGTCAACGTATTGACGTACATATTTATCTATGAGTCACCAAGCGAAGAAACCCCGAAGCCAGAGAGTGAAAGAGCGGCGTAGTTCCTAACCCACATTAGAGAGCATCGATAAAAGGCGACACATTAATTACACTAGCTTACAAGCGTTCACTTTATTGTGGGTTTTATAAGAGCTACAAGTTTGTTTTGATTTTATATATGATTTAAGTTGGATTTACAGAGGAGAATCTTGTAAATGGGGTGTAACTTTGAGGTATGATGTATCTTTGAGATACCATGGGCATTAAAGATTGCAAATGAATTTAAAGTAATCTATATAATATCTATCTTTGTATATTTTTCGTTAATAAATCTACCCAAAAACTATATTTAATTCTACAGGTATTCAAAATGTATTCTTTAAAATCTTACATAAACTAGGAAACTCCATCATACCTTTCTCAGGTGTTTCTTCCTTGTAAACTAGTGTTAGTTCTGCCCGTTTTCGATACCTCTCACCCTCTCTTTTTTTTATATATGATCGCTCTTTGTTCTCCTACCGGACCTAGGTCTATAAATATTGAGTATTCCGCGCGGTGGCCGCCGCTCCAGAATCGAGAGCCCTTAACTCTCTTCCACACTTACTTTATATAACAATC